CCTATGGCAGAAACCTAAAAAGAAAAAAAAAAAAAAGAAAAGAGAAAAGAAACCAAAATGAATTTTGAGAGTGGAATACCTATAGCAAAGTTTTCTCAGATGTCCCCAAATTAGAATTTTTTTTTTTAAATTGTCAGAGAAAGAGAGGGAGGAAGCACCCTTAACGGGTCATGGTCACATCACAATCCCTTCTCCCCCATTTTTCCATCCTGTAGGGATTTGGGGCACACATGCTTGCAAATGCACTTGGCATGTTTTTCAAGGTACTAGGAACAGGACTCCAACTGCAGTCAGTCAGGAGGGATCGGGCTACTTCTGTGCAACGTGTTAACTGCTGTGCTATGGAGCTGACCCCTCAGATTAGGAATACTATTTTTGGATTTTAGAGCTGTTTCTTGAATTTGATGAATTTAGAACCAGGGTGCTATCATTATATTTTCTCTCAACTTCTTCAGGCCTAGCCAGATTGTCCTCATCGCTTGCTCATTAGAGGTACAAATAGCAATATAAAAAACTACCACTAGGTGTCAGTCTTGCTTTGTGAAAATTTCTTCTTACCCAGGACCAGGCATCTTTAGGAAGAGCTGCTGGTTCCGACCTCTTCCCTCATAACGTGCCCTGGAGGATGAGGCTGTGAGTTTTCTGTGCACCAGCCTTTTAGAGTTGGCCCAGAAAAAACTCTGAAGTGCTTCCATCTCTGTCTTTCCTTGTGTTCAAGTCCTGAAGCAGAGCCTGAATGTCTAGACCAGCAACGGGCTTCTTCTTTTTTTTTTTTTTCTTTTTTTGAAGAGGTTTTTGGTATAGGGCATGTGTGTTTGCCAGAAAGACACAGAGAGACAGAAATCACCCCCCAGGGGGGATGGCCATGCCGCAATCTCTTCTCCATTCTCTTCGCGGGATCTTGGGCACGCACACACACACGCCCGGCATGAGTTTAAGCCGCCGTTCCAGGACTCGAACTGCCGACTACATGGGAGTCCAGCTACATAGCCACTACACTAACTGCTGATCCTAGCAGTGGGCTTCTTGAGAAGGACCCAGAGGGAATCCTGATTTGGAGGAGGTTGCGCCTCCAGGTGGTGGGCTGCAGGTGCATACTCACCACTGTGGGTAGCTCCCAAGTAGGCAGCTGGTCTACCTGCACACCTTTCCTGCACCTGGCCACACTCCCCACTGGAGCACATGCACCAACCTGATGGAGGAACCTGGAGCGTGGCCACGCTGCGATCCCTCCTCCATTCTCCTCTTGAGATTTTGGGCACACACACACACATACCTGGCAGGTCCAGGACTCGACCCAGGGTCGAGTACATGGGAATCCACCTATGTAACCCTTGCGCCATCTTCTGGTCCCCCTAATAATTTAACTCTAAAATAGAGAAAAGAATGTGTATAAATAATCTATGTTCACAGCAGAAAATCTTGAGGTAAAAAGCGCCCATAATCCCCTCCATCCTGAAGTAAGCAAAATGACCATGTTAATACATATCCTCCCAGACTTTTTTTATGTGTGGATGTGTCTATAAGTGTAAAAATAAAACTATACTATTCCCACCACCACAATGGTTTATAATGGCTGCCTACTTGCCAAGAATGCAGGGGAAATGGCACCCATTTTTTGTCTGCATTAAAACTGTGTGAGTTTCATAGGGGAGCTACTGCATTTCAGAGATGTTTTAAGACTAGGCTTGAGATATTTCCTCTGTAAGAGAAAATCATATTTGCTTTATCTAGGCTTGAGAAATTTCCTGTGTAAGAGAAAACCATATTTGCTTTATTTTTTTTGAAGTCTGCTAATGTAAAAATTTTGTGAGAGGAAGAATTTTTTTCACCACCATCAACCACACAAAAAAGGTGATAGCTTTGACATTACCGAGGTGCTTATGGAATGCCTTGTTTAAGTGAGTGGGCAAAAACAGATAACATTATTCTATGGATTCACAGATTTCAAGAAAGTTGCTCAAGTGTGGACTGTTCATTTAGGTCTTTTAAAACTTTTTATAAAAGCAACAAAAGAAAATGTACAAATGAAAGCTGCATAGCTGTTACCCATGACACGTCCTCTGCAGGCCCTGGATGAGGTGGCCGTGGGATCACCTCCAGCGCCTTCTCCCCTAAAGAAACTGAGTATCCCCAAAGCGTTGGCATTTGATGTGGGGAGCCAGTCTCCAGGGCTTACCCTGGGACCTCTGCAAGTCACTTACCTTCTGTGAGGGCCAATCTCCTCAGCTGCAAAATGGAGATAAGAGCATCTGAGGGGGAGGCTGTGAAGGTGACGTAAAGTAGTTTGAAATACGTCTAAGGGGCCGCACTATACAGGAGGTCCTGTTAAAAACCTCAGAGATTTGGACCGGCCTTGGAGCCTGGTGGTTAAGATGGCTAGGTCTCATATGGTCCGCCACATGGTTCAAATCCCAGCCCTGTCAGCTTGAAAACACACCAGGACGCGTGAGCATGTGTGCCCCAAGTCCCAACAGGATTGAGAAACAGAGGAGAAAGGATTGTGGTGTGGCCATGCCCCCTATAGGGTGTTGCTTTCTCACTCTTTCTCTCTTTCCGTCTCTGGTGAATCCACACACCCTCTGGCAATAAAGAAAAAGGATAAAACAAACACAAAAACTCAAAATTTTGAAACCAGACAGACCTCTGTGGGAATTCAGACTCTTGGGCTTCCTGACTATTAGGTCACTGACATCTCTGACTTTTCCCTTGGCCTTGCAGGATTAATAATAAGCCATTGTGGGACCGGTAGTTGGCGTAATGGCTATGTTGCTGGACTCCCATGTAGCCGACTGCGGTTAGAATCCTGGACCCAGTGGTTTAAACTCACGCCGGGCGTGTGTGCGTGCGTGCCCAAGATCCCGAGAGGAGAATGGAGGAGAAGGGGTTGTGGCGTGGCCATCCCTCTGGGGGGTGATTTCTCGCTTTCTGTCTCTATGTCTCTCTCTGTCTTTCTGTTGAGTGCACATGCCCTATAGCGAAAACTTCTCAAAAAAAAAAAAAAAAAAAACCCTTGTAAGTCAGAGGTTAACCCCCCTCGCC